TATTTTTGTCAACAGATAATTAAAATCTTTGCTCACTCTTGGCGATGTATCTTTGGGGTGGTGGTGGATTTTTATTTTTTTCTTTCCCTGGTCATTTATACACTTTTGGGAAATATGCTAAACAAAATCCAATTATTTTGATGTAGCAACCCACAGTTGAGAGTACAGAACAAAAGTAATTGAGCGCATGCCTTTTGCAGACTGTTTGGCAGTGGAGAGAACAGCTTACAGATTCTCTTCATTTGGAGGGAAAAAAATGTATAATTAAAATCTGGGCCCCTTTATCCCCTATTAATCTTATGTAAGGCAAGCACAGAGCAATTGTAATATTGCTTGCAGGGTGATGGAAATACTTTCAAGTGAAACAAACGAAGTCTCTTCTTCAGTGTCCCTGGCCTAGTTAATTAATGGGAGCTGAGCTTCCTAACCACCTGTCTTGGCGGGAGGGGGGCTTTTGGCTCAAGCGGAGGCTCTGAAAAATGCGGTCTTAAGCAGTTTGGGGACGGATGAGTGGCGCAGGGGAGAAGGGTACACATCTGTGACCGTGTGTGTCTCTGGCTTCTTTGCAGAGACTGAAGTTGGTGTGCTCGCCGCAGCCGGACTGGGGCCCATTCTTAGCTAAACACCGCGGGGAACGTTACAAGAACATGATCGACCCCTTGGGAACCTCTTCCCTGGGACTCAAACTGCCTGTGAAGGATTTGGAACTGGGCACCCAGTGCTAGTCCAGTGGTGTGAGATGGCCCAGACTTACTCCTGTTTTTCCTCTTCGCCTCCTCTGAATGTTTTCCCTAGCTCTCCTCCCATTTTTCTTCTTTCTTCCCACCTCTCGGTTCACATCCACACATGAGAGTGGTTACGTAGAGAAGTAGGACATGGAGTCACGCAATAGGAAGAGCTAGACGCACCACTGTGGCACTGTCTGCCTGGGTCTGTGACATCACTTCCTGGTAGGGTTGGGTCCATGACGTCACTTCCTGGTAGGGTTGGTTCCCTGAACTCCTGCTTTACCCTTCAGGGGTTGATCAACAGGTGAGCACTGGTAGGTGTGCGTGGTTCGGTCAATGGGGATGTTTGCACTATGTAATGTCACTGGTGGTGTTAGTAGGGCCTGTCTAGAATGGCAGAACCCTAGACTCACGGTGTGTGGAGCTGAGCTGAGCGATGCAGTGATTTCCATTAGACGTAAGTTCAGGACAGGGAGCATTGAGAGAGTCAGCTGTAGGTAGAAAAAGCTTTGGATATAAGACAGGGCCAGTAGATTCGAAAACCACTGAGGTGGTTATGTGGGCATTTCCAGTCACAACTGGGGACGTGTTTCATTGGAACCAGCCATCTCGAGTGGGCTCTGACGTCCTCTTGAATCTCCACACCCTGAGTTTGAATGAAAAGTCAGTTCTTTCCCCTCTGTCGTCTTTCTTTCTACCTTTTAAAAATAAGTAACCACATTTATAAATGCTTTTGGTCATTTCCTCCACCTTTGCACAAAAAGCCATCGTATAATTTGTGCCACCGTGTGTACTTAGTAGAGCGTCATTCAGACTTCTACCTGACATGTAGCACATGTAGTGGTTCCATGCCATGGTCCCGTGTTCCTTCTCTAAATGACTTTCTATCAGCTGTAGATACCTTGCCTTTCAACCTCTGGGAAAACAAGACTTACCCTGGTTCTGTCTATATATTATATATATAGGACACACATTCTTAAAAGACAGACAACTTCTCAGTTTTTACTCTTAACTTTTTCATTCACGGTAAATGCCAATTGTGGTCCTAGGAAAAGCAAAGAGATGGAGAGTTTTAATAGAAAGCAAGCACGCTCTTCACTGCATTGGTAGTACTTTAGGTCACTGTATTTACAGAAATTTCTGGAAATACAGCTTAGGTAAGTAGCAAGTGAGCAATTAAGAATATAGCTTTTAAGACTACATTTAGCCAATTCAATTTTAAGAGTTCCCTCTTCACACTCATCATCGTAACGGCACTCTAATGACAGTGGGTCATGTCTGCAGAGACTGGAGAAGCCGTAATCTTTATTATCTTCTTGTATCCTGAACATGCATATATGAAATTTTTAAAATGCGATCAGTGTTCACGTAGTGCGTATTCGTAGTGGTGTTTTCTGTCCTTATAAATATCTTATGAATCACTGTAGAGGTGGTGAGTTTAGAGTAGTGTAGTCTTTTTCTTTTTTTTCCCCCTTGTGGTAATAATATCTAAACCTAAAATTGTTTCCTTTAGGGAAGACCATTCCCATCATTTTCTTATTCGTTTATCTTCATCTTACAGGGTCTCAGGCAAAGTTTTCAGTTCAAATCTAGTATATTGATGTGACATTTTCATCCTGTTCCACAGCCATGGGTCCCAACAACAGACTTTAATGTAAGATTTTTTTTAAAAAATGACTTCATTTGTAAAAAGAAAAGTCTCAACTCATTTTACTGAGTTCTCCCTTTTCTAGGGCAAATATCATTGCCATTTTCCGACTCCGACATGAACTTCCAGTTTTCCAGGGTAGCCTGTGAAAAGTTTTAGAAAAGGTAAGAAGGATGGGTTTGGAACTTCAGGTTTTTTGTCTGCAGTGTATGTTTGTCCTGCTCTTTTCTCCTTTCCTCTTATCTCCCAAAGGTAGAACTTACTAGAATTTATCACAGAGACCAAGCCCCGAGAGTCCCCTAAGCTGAGCTGCAGCCCCTCCCATCATGTGTTTGCCATTAGCACAGCTTCCTGCCCCAAGCCGTATTGTCGAGAAGCCCCCATTACTACAGCAGATGTCACATGCTGGTACCCATAATTTTGCCTCTTCATTGGAGAACCAGTGGAGTGAGAGAGGTGGGGAGGAATAACTCTGGTCTGGACATAATCTGCAGCCTTTCCAATCTGAAGGTTGAGGAAAAGAGCTTAAATCAATTAGCGTTCTTCCTCTTATCTCCCAAAGGTAGAACTTACTAGAATTTATCACAGAGACCAAGCCCCGAGAGTCCCTAAGCTGAGCTGCAGCCCCTCCCATCATGTGTTTGCCATTAGCACAGCTTCCTGCCCCAAGCCGTATTGTCGAGAAGCCCCCATTACTACAGCAGATGTCACATGCTGGTACCCATAATTTTGCCTCTTCATTGGAGAACCAGTGGAGTGAGAGAGGTGGGGAGGAATAACTCTGGTCTGGACATAATCTGCAGCCTTTCCAATCTGAAGGTTGAGGAAAAGAGCTTAAATCAATTAGCGTTCTCCCTTGGGAGTGGTATGTTTCTGTCAGGATGGATGGTTTTTGGCTGTCCTCTTGCCTGTTGGCTGAAACTCCAATCTAGTACTGGATGCCGACCCAATTTCTGCTAATTGTTGCTGCTGTGATTCAAAGAAGGGGGAAATCCCCACAGATGCTGCCAGGGCTATTTTGCACAATCTGAAAGTTAATTGTGAGACTGGAGACCCCCTCATTAGCTAGTCTGTTTTGCATTTGAGGGCGACTATGTTTTTGTTAATTAGGATTTGATCAGGTTAAGACCCTGAAGCTGCTCCCTGAGCATGCTGTTGTTTCCCTTCTCCCTACGGTTCCCTAGTTTTATATACCATTTGCTTAGAGGGACGCTGTCAGGTGAGAAGTTCCAACCTTACCTGGAAACAGTTCCCTTGTACATTTCGCATTGTCAGTTTCTATGGCCATGCTCAGTCTTGAGGCTTTCCCTGGCTGGGGATGTGCTCAGTGTCTGAGCTGTTTCCATCAAGCATCTCCCACGCCTGCTGCCCATGGACCTGGCTGGAATTCTAAGAGATGAAATGCACAAACCAGACGGATTGTTTCCATGCTGAAAGAAACAAAAAATAGGATGAAAATAAAATGAACAGTATTGTCATAAATTGTCACCTGACATTTTCCCTCCAAACTGAGGAAAAACCTGAGTTGCTGAAGAAGCATTTTCATTGGTTCCCTGTGCAGAATGGTGGGGCATTTTCCACTCATGAGATAATTTCATAACACCAACCAATGCCATTCGGAGAAAAAAAAGCCATATGTGAAAAAAGTAGTAACCCTATAATATCCTTAAAAGGAAAAAAAAAATGTATGTTTCTTAACTATTGGTGTCGTGGCTTCTTCTACAAATGTTCGTTTTGTGTATTAGTAACTTTGGATCTCTTTCAGACAATGTTTGTCATGTACAATGTGTTCAGCTCTGGTCTTTTGTAGTAGTTGTTGTTTCTGTTTTCTTTATATTTATTTATTGCATGAAATCTGTGGTTGATGCAAAATCTTGAAGACCTCAATGTCTTCCAAAATTTCCAATGTGTTTTTAATATGTAAGAAATGTGATCGACTCATCTTTCAGTAAGCAGCACTTTAAAAGTTTAACACAACGATCTTTCAATGGATAAGACATGGGTGATCTTTATGCTCATGTGACCTCAAAGTTGAGTTTTCCTTTACTTAAGTTCTTGTCCTGTTTTCTACATGTACCTCCATGGTTTACCCATCAGCATGGTTTCCCCATGCCTAAAGAAAGATTTTTCTTCCCTCTTTGTTCCCCTAACCATCAGTCACTGTCCTCTTCCCAGAGACCAGCACACTAGCTGTTGTTCAATGTATGTGTGATGGTACGCTCACACCACTGCTGTCACAGCAGGATTTGGGTTTGTGACTGGCTTCTTTGAGGTAGATGCCTCGAGGGAGAGGGGGATGCATGGCAGGTTGACTCATGGGCATGAAAGGTCAAGGCCACAGATGAGTATTTCTTCTGTTTCTCTCTGAGCATCATGCAGAAAGCTTCCATACTGAAAGCAAAAGTTCTGGCGGTGTAGTCTTGATACTCATTTCCCCCACAAAGTGGCCCTGAGATTTGAGAAAAGGAAGCTTCCTGTTTTCCCTGGATTTTGTTCCCAATATCCAGGAAGGCCAAGTCATTTTGAAATGTGGTCTCTGCTCAGGTCACCTCTGAGCAACCTGCAGTCAAAGAGAAAAATGTGTTTTCAGACTGAGTATTCATCACCTCTGAGAAGCAAGCAGTGGTTTGATTTGCCTACTGGGGGTTAAATACATCTTCAGGTAACCATTTGCCTTATAGATGTATTTTATTGTTAGGATGACACTTAGTCACCAACTAAGAACTGTTTTGTCTCTCATTTGTTGGTCTTTTTTTGCACTTTATTATGGGCCTATCAAGGAATAGGTTAATTCTTAAATTGTATACTTGGCTAATGTCCTAAATGTAGCCATCTTATGTGGGTACTGTCACCCATGAATAAATACGTGTTCCCTAATCAGGTTCTTATATTTTTTCATTAATTGTACATGAAGAAAAGATATTATGTTATAAATGATACATCATATATATATATCTTTATCTTATAGAGTACATATTATATACTGTGCATTATTCATTTAAAGAGTCATTATTCTTGAGGCCCTACCTCAAATTTTGTATTTATGTATACAAATGGAATTTATTGTATTATATATTTACCTATTATATACTGATATAAATTAGAATTTATCCTAATAATGTATGAATTCACAAAACCCTAAATAAACGTCAGTGTTTAAAACATAATGATCACGGTTCTGTGTCTGTTACAAACCCATTATCTGCCAGTTTTGTTTTCTCTTTCTCTTTCTGTTTTTGTTGTAGGGTGCGTGCATTCACTGGAGAGAGATGGAGAAGGAGAAAGTGAGGAATCACCCCCGCCTGGGTTTTTTTGGGGGGTGGTGGTGAGCATACCTCAATCCCTTTTCCTCCTTTCTCCTCTTGGGATTTTGGGCGCATGTGCCTGACAAGCCATGGGGAGTGGGCCTTGGACTGCACAGTAGGCCACGTGGGATCCAGTGTCCCAACCACCACACCACCTCCTGCCGCCCACCATTTTTCTTGACAAACCCCCTTCAGATATTCCCAGGATTGATCTATTTTATTGGGAGAAACCTGGAACAGCCGTGGAAAACTGCCCTCCTGGGAGAATGAGATGTCGTGCTACTGCATAAACAAGTATCAATTAAATTGTTACATTCTTAGCTGTCAGAAAACACTATCGTTTGGTGAATTATTAATAACCCCTTCTAGGGGCAAAAGAAAGAATGAGAGAAGGGAACAGGAAGAGGAGAAGGGAGAGAGAGAGAATGCCTGCACCGATCTGAGATGTGCACAAAGAGACTGGGCAAGTTAAGTCCTTTTGTGTATTTTAGTGATTATTTTGGCATTCTTTGATTTTATTTCAATTCTGCAAACATTTACCTACCTCCAGCGTTACGCCAGGTCCCAGGAAAAACTTGATGGAACAATCCCGTAGCTTAAGGAACTCGAAGGCTACTAGCAAGACCACCCACATTAAACAGATGAGTAAGCAAATGCCACTGCTCCCCTTTAGAGTGGATGGAGCCCCCATGTTCCCTGCCCAGAGGGAGGCCCCCAAGGTTCTGCATCACTGTCTTTTTTGATCTCGCTAGTCCAGAAGCTTGACTGTCTTCCTCAAATGAACTTAATACATTCATGTTCTGCCTCCATCTTCAGTTTCAGTTTTGGGAGGCTACAGGTATGATTTGGGCCACCCTCAGTGGGAAATGAAATGTCCTCACAGCTGATGTGAAATTCACACGCCCCAGTGCATTGTGCTTCATCCTGCGGTCAAGCTCCTGCTTAGAAAGACCTGTGGTAGAGAGATTCAGTCATACGCAGGACTGGCTAAAAACCTGCATTCAGGGGCCAGCAGGTGGCGTAGTGGCTAAGACACTGGACTCCTACATGGCCAAACATGGTTTGAGTTCCAGAGCTGAAAATCACACTGGGCATGCATGTTATGTGTGTGCCCAAAATCTCAGGAAGAGAATGGAGAAGAGATTGTGGCACGGCTATCCTCCTGAGGAGTGATTTCTCACTTTCCCTCTCTCTCCAGCAAGCACACATGCCCTATGGCAAAACCTAAACAAAACAAAACAAAATAAAACAAATTCCCCCCTCCCACACACACATTGAACAGGTGCACCAAGCTGCAGACACCAAACTGGGTGTAATGTCACCTCTTCCCAGCCGTGGTGCCAGGACTGGGTGCTGGCCTGTCAGCCTCCAACTCCTTCCTGACACTGCTCTGCTCATTGTGTTCTTCTACTGTAGTTTGAAACTCCTCAGGTATACCTCAAATTGGAGAGGAGAGAAGAATAAACTCGCACATCCACACCACTCAGTTTCAACAATGATCAACTCTGTGTCCCTGTCTGTCCCCTGGGATGTTATTTCTTTGGAATATTTCAAAGAAGATCTCAGATGCCATGGAGTTTTAGTTGGAAATGTTCTTTTTTATACTCTTCTAAGTAGAATTGTTCTTTTTTTTATAATTTTTTATTGAACTTTTATTTATTTATTCTTAATTTGAGCAGAGACAGACACACGGAGAGATAGAGAGAGGGAAACTGAGAAAGCAAGCCACCAGGTCCAGGACTCAAACTGTGGGTGGCCATGTGGGAGTGTCCAGCACCTTAGCCACCACACCATCTGCTGTTCCCAGTAGAATTGTTCTTTTCTATATGGGGATAAGGAGAACTCTGGGGCCTGGAGTTCACACGTCCTAAGACCAGCATGCTCTGGGGTGTTAGAGAGAGGAGGAACAGGGATCTGTCTGTGAGGCACGGAGGAGGTAGGTGCTCTGAGGACTGTCCTGCCTCCCTCCAGCCCTTCTTCCATCATGCTTGTATTTGTTTGGCAACTATGGCCCCCACCCCCAGACGTTGCTGTGTTTCCCATCCAGCTTATTCCTGCTCCCTGACTGCCCTCTGCCTTGGTTCATGCTTCCTTCCCCCCTTTCCCACGACACCTCTCCTGCCACCAGTGATCAGAATCCTGCAGTTACACAGAACTCCAGCATCACTGGACACAGCAAAGGTATGGATCCTTCCACCGCAGTCTGCTTTGTGGGCATTGGGTTTACAAAGAGATGCACATGAGATAAGTAGTTGCCATCTGAGAGGTTTGCAAGAGGGAAGATTGTAAAGTCTAGGGGGCCAGCAGGTGGTGTGGTGGTTAAGGTGCTGGACTCCCACATGGCCAACCGTGGTTCGAACTCAGGACCCAGTGGCTTGAAAATCATGCTGAGTATGTGTGCGTGCATGCCCCAAATCCCAGGAGGACAAAGGAGGAGAAGGGATTGTGGCATGGCTATCCCTCCTGGGGGCATGGTTTCTCATTTTCCCTTTGTCTCTCTCTGGTGATAGTACATGCCATATGGCAGAAAAGAAAAGAAAAAGAAAAATTTGGACCCCTCTGGTACCCGTAAAGTGGGCTCGTTTACAAAGACCAGGTGTGTCTGTGATTGACACATTCTACTGCATAACTTGGAGTCCATGTGTGCTTTGGGCGACTCCTTTCTTGCCTTGTAGTGTAATTTGTAATTTTATGAAAATCTTGATATGTAAGAATTCCACCTGTTCCTTTCCCCAGGAACCTTCTCCCTACAGTCACTTGTAGGATTAGGAGAAAATGATGGCTGGAATGTAATGTGGACCGACATTGAAACAGAATCCCATTTCGTCGTCCATCGATTCGCTCCTTTTGTTTATTTTCATCCTGTGCTCCACGTCTTACCTGCATGTTTCTAGTGCTAACGGGTGGTGACACATAGCGAAACTGAAAACAGGCATTCTTTTTCATCAAATGAGCAAATATCGAGTCCTGGCTGTGTGCAAGGGACAGAGCTCAGTGTTACAATGTGCAAGGAAAACAGGGACAAGCCTGTCTCTCTCTCAGGTCCCTCCCAGCGAGTGGGGACCTAAGTCACACACACACACACACACACACACACACACACACACACAGATGTTGCCCTCACA